AAATCACAGAAAAAAAAAAAAAGAAAAGAGCCAGGGAACCAGCAGTTAGCGTAATGGCTATGTCACTGGACTCCGACGTAGTTGACCGCAGTTCGCGTCCCGGACCCGGTAGCTAAGAACTCAAGCCGGGCGCGCGTGCGTGCGTGCCCAAGATCCCAAGAGGAGAATGGAGGAGAAGGGTTTGCGGCATGACCATCCCCTCTGGGGCGTGATTTTTCACTCTCTGTCTCTCTGTCTCTTTCTGTCTCTCTGGCGAGCACACATGCCCTATAGCGAAAAACCTCTCCAAAAAAAAATAAATAAATAAATAAATAAATAAAAGTTAAAAGCCAGAAAGTATAATGGCTGGTTATTCGGTTCCTTTTCTGTTTCCCTTCAGTATGTAAGGGGCTACGTCTCCTGCAGGTTCCCTACCTGCTTTCTTTCTGGGGGAAGGTTTTTCACCTTATCTTTGGGGGAATCTACAGTTCATCTACACCCAAAGCCCGAGTACCACCTACCCTCCCGCTGGAGTTTGATCCCGGAGACTCCAGCCCTTCCCTTCACCCCTGTCTGTCTCGTCTCCAACCTAGGGTTCCATGGAAGGTGGCCCTTACCTGCCCCGGGCCCTGCAGCAGCCCCTGGAGCAGCTGGCTCGATATGGGCGGCTCCTGGAGGAGCTCCTGAGGGAAGCTGGGCCTGAGCTGAGCTCTGAGCGCCAGGCTCTCGCGGCAGCCATGCAGCTGCTCCGGGAACAAGAGGCCCGCGGCAGAGATCTGCTGGCCGTGGAGGCAGTACGCGGCTGTGAGGTAAGGCCACGGCTCGTTACTCCCCCTCAGGCTGCCTGGCCCTGTGGCCTTGGAAGCAGTGTAGACTGGTGACAAGAAAATCAGACCCATCAGAGAGCCCCAGGCTCTAATTTCTAACCACTTGGGTAGCCTTGGTTAAGCCACTGAACTTCACCGGGCTTCAGTTTCCTCATCTGTAAAAAGCTGCAGCAGCAATGCCCTGCTGTGTTCCCACAGTGCCCATGCTCTTCCTCTTCTTCTTACCTTTCCCTGTCTACACTTCCTCCTGCCCCTCAACACCCAGTGTATCACTGACTCTCCTCCACCTGGTGCTTCTCCAGCCCTGAGTTTTCAGAACAGTTTGGAATTTCCTGGGATAGACCTATTTCCCCTTCAGTTCTTTGCTGACTGTCTTTGCAGTTCCTCAACATGAAAAGTTCCCCATGGGGGGCTGTAAAGTCTATGGGGCAATGCATCTTCCCATCTTCAGAGGCAGGGTTATTCTGTTAGCCAGGTGCTGTGCATGGTGACCAAGGATGGATTCTAGGGACCAGTAGTTGGCATAATGGCTATGTCGCTGGACTCCCATGTAGTTAACTGCTGTTTGAGTCCTGGACTCGGTGGCTTAAACTCACGCCAGGCATGTGTGTGTGCGTGCCCAAGATCTCAAGAGAAGACTGAAAAAGGGATTGCAGTGTGGCTATCCCCCCTGGGGGGGGTAATTTTTTCACTTTCTATTTCTCTGTCTCTCTGTCTTTCTGGCAAGCACACACGCCCTACAGCAAAAAAAAAAAAAAAAAAAAAATCTTAAGAAAAAAAAAAAAAAAAAAGGATTCTAGGCCTAGGTCTTCTCCGATTTCCTGACTCTGCCCGAGAACCAGTGCATTAGGCCTCTTGCCCTATAAATCCATTTTTACTCCCCATAAAACACACACAAAGGGGCCCTGGGCCGACGACATTTCCTTTTCCTTTTCTCAGATAGATCTGAAGGAGCAAGGACAACTCTTGCATCGGGACCCTTTCACCGTCATCTGTGGCCGAAAGAAGTGCCTTCGCCATGTCTTTCTCTTCGAGCATCTCCTCCTGTTCAGCAAGCTCAAGGGTCCTGAGGGGGGGCCAGAGACCTTTGTTTACAAGCAGGCCTTTAAGGTATAATGCCTGGGGTGGGGGGAAGGACAGACCGGAACTCATGCTCTTCTTAAGAACTCATGACGTTCGAGAAATTCACCTCCCACCCAGGTTCTCAATCTAGTCTTCAGAAAAGTCAGAAAAATACATCATGACTTTGCCGAAGGCACCATACATCATTTAGAATAGGCTTTGGCCTCTGATCAAGTTAAAATGTCAGAGAAGACCCTGTCATTGGTCTTCCTTATTGTTTATGCAGAAGCTTTTTTATTATTCATTTTATTTTAATTTGACCAGAGAGAGAGAGAGAGAAAGAGAGAAAGAGGGAAAATGAGAAAGTAAGCCACCAGGTCCAGGACTAGAACCGTGGTCAGCCATGTGGCAGTATCCAGTGCCTTAACCACCATGCCACCTGCTGGTCCCTTTTTTTTTTTTTAATTTTTAAAGGAGAGGTTTTTGTTTAAGGCACATGCACTTGCCAGAAAGACAGAGAGAGACAGAAAGCGAGAAATCACCCCCCAGGGGGGATGGCCACGCCACAATCCCTTCTCCTCCATTCTCCTCTCGGGATCTTGGGCACGCGCACACATGCGCATGGCATGAGTTTAAGCCTCCGAGTCCAGGACTCCAACTGCGGTCAACTATATGGGAGTCCAGCGACATAGCCACTACACCAACTGCTGGTCCCTCTGCAGAAGCTTTATAAGGCATTCTAAGCCAGACCACACAGGAGAGGGCCTCTCCCATTAAGGACTCACATACCCTTTGAGTGACGGGCGGTCCCTGGGGTGTGAGGACAAAGGACACTCTATATAGTGTAACTTGACTGAACTAAGGAACCCAAGAAGGCAGAGGCCTTGGTTTAGGGAAGTGGCCTTGCTATCCTGATAAACATCCATGGCAACCTGGATCAGGCAGCGTGGGATGATTCTAAGGGCCTTTGTTTCCCTTTAGTGCCAGAGCTTCAGGGGGAGTATAATATAAAGAAACATGCCTAGGTTTGGATAACAGAGAGATTCAAACCCCAGCTCTCCAGTAGGCTATGATAAGCCTTTTCTCCGGGCCTCATTCTCCTGTAAATTATGGTTGTTATGAAGACTAAATGTAGAACACTTGGCACATGGTAGGTGTTGAGCAAACATTTACTGAACATCTACCAGATGCCAGGCTAAGCGCAGTGCCTGCCCATGTGGTGCCAACCTAGCCAAGACTCACCCATTCCCCTCTGCTCCTCCTCAGACTGCTGACATGGGACTGACTGAAAACATCGGGGACAGCGGGCTCTGCTTCGAGCTGTGGTTTCGGCGGCGGCGTGCACGAGAAGCATACACTCTGCAGGCAACCTCGCCAGAGACCAAACTCAAGTGGACAAGTTCTATCGCCCAGCTGCTGTGGAGACAGGCAGCCCACAACAAGGGTACTGGGCAGAGCCAAGGGAGGGTGTGCCGAGAATCAGGGCTGTGGCAGGAGAGTTTCTGAAGAGTGTGGAAACTGCTTGGTAAAACGGGGTGTAGGATGAAGAAGGAAGCATGCGTTGTGAGAAGATTCAAGGTCTGATTTAGAAAGATCGCTGAGAAAGAAGTTAGCCTAAGGGTACCCAAAGGAAAGGAAACCTCTAGCAGACTTCAGGGAACAGGCGCTAAGAGCTGGCAAAGGGCGAAACACTTCTCTGGACTTGGGCTTCAGAACTGCTGCCCTCTACATTTACATGCTGTGCGACCTAGACTCGCTTTTTGCTCTCCTTGGGTTTTGTTGTTGTGGTTGGTTGGTTTGGTTTCCTGCTGGGGTTTCTTTTTTTAATTCTCTGAACCCCATTCCACTCATCTGAAAAATGAAATAGCAGTGTCTTCATCTTAGTGTTATAGGGAGAATTAATAAGGAGACAGGGAAGCTTTTGGGAGCTGTAAAAGTAGAGCCATACGTGAGTTTTGCTCTTACTGCCCAAGACACAGGGAAGAAGCTGAGTATCCAAAGGCAGGCAGCGGGATGCGGACGGGCAGGGTGCGGCGTGTGGGAGAGAAGAGACAGATTATCTAAGGAGGGAGTCAAAGACCGCCAGCACTGTGTCCTGATAGGCGACAGAAGAGTGACGAGACACCAGAGGAATGAGAGGGAGGACCGAGAGTTGGGAAGAATCAACCGTGCCGTGCTAGGAGGAGCAGAGGTGGTAACAGGGTGTCTGTTCCCTAGAGCTCCGAGTGCAGCAGATGGTCTCCATGGGCATCGGAAACAAACCCTTCCTGGACATCAAAGCCCTTGGGGAGCGGACACTGAGTGCTCTGCTCACTGGAAGAGGTGAGGGCCAGGGTGCTGGGGGTCGGCCCCCGGAGGTCAAGACCTTGACAATGAGGGCACAATGGGGAGGCCTGGTGGAAAGTGAGGAAGGGTAATGAATGGGCATCTCTTCCCAAAACCTGTGGGACTGAATGGGAGGCCCTTTAGGAGACTGAGGGACGTCCCAGGGAGACACCAGCACCCCACCCCCCCACTCCCCACTCTCTGCAGCCGCTCGCACCCGGGCCTCCGTGGCCGTGTCATCCTTTGAGCATGCCGGCCCCTCCCTTCCTGGCCTCTCGCCGGGAGCCTGCTCCCTGCCTGCCCGCGTCGAGGAGGAGGCCTGGGATCTGGACGTCAAGCAAATTTCCCTGGGTGAGGCACCTCTCAAGGGGTGGCCCCCAACAGCTGGGTCATCGTGGTGTTCAGGCTGCTTGCTGCTGAGCAACTCCTTTTTCTAGCCAAGTAGCCCAGCTGCCATGACAATTGTGTACAGCTTTCCCATTGCTAAAAGACCCTTCCATCTGGTTGCTAGGGTGATGCTTACAGCAGCCTGTTGCTAAGAAGCACTTCCTCTGTACTTCTCTCCCTAGCTCTCCTTGGGTTTCTATGGAAACTGCCTCAGCTTCCTGTTGTACCCTCCTGGTTCACCACGGCAATCCTTATAGTTTCCTGTCGCTTCTTTCCTGGTTGTTCTAATGATGCTGCTGACAATTTCCTGCCTCTTGGTAGGGGGGGTCCTCTCACAACTGGATTGCTATGGTGACTCACAGCTTCCTGTTGCTATGGAGCTTTTCTTCCCTGATGGAACAGCTTGGTTGCTTAAGGTCATCTGGAGGGGTTCTATACCCTGCTCTCACCCTAGCTTCCCCTCCAGCCCCAGAAACACTTGACTCTTCTGGAGATGTGTCCCCAGGACCAAGAAACAGCCCCAGCCTGCAACCCCCCCACCCTGGGAGCAGCACTCCCACCCTGGCCAGTGGAGGGATCTTAGGGCTATCCCGGCAGGTAAGTCCCTGCAAGAAGGCATGGGAGGGGGTGATCTCTGGCCACTTTCTGAGCGGGCTTTTCTGATCATTCAACCCGTTGAGTAGGCAGGGGGCTCTGGTGACCCATGCTCCCTGCCGAGGCTACAGACGAGATTCACTGTCTAGTCTGCCTTTCTCCTCTCCCCGAGGCCTGGCTGAAGAGTCATCTAGGCCAGAGGTGAAAAGGAATCTGTAATAAGGAGCCTAGTGCTGGAGCAGATGGAAGGAGAGAATACTAGAGGCCTGGTTTGGACTTGGGTTTACTTGAAGGAGTCCAGAAACTTTGGGAAAGAAAGAACCAAACTGACAGGCTTGGGAGTCCTTGGATTCACTGTAGTTTCTCTCCCCCCAGAGTCATGTACGAGCCCTGAGTGACCCCACCACTCCTCTGTGAGCTGGGTGAGTCGGCACCCCTTCTGTCATACCCAACCCTCCTTTCTTCTTGCCTGTACCTCCTTCCTTCCCCAGCTGCTGGAGAGCTCACTTCCCCTGTACCCACCCGCTGTCCCTCTCGCAGCTCCTTTGGGGCTGGAATGGCAGTGGGACACAAAGGACACTGGGAGAGCCTAATCCCTCCCTCTGCTTCTCTGACAAAAAGGTCAAGGACCAGTGTGGTGCCCTGCTGCCACTGTCTCCAGCTCTCCCCAGCTTGGTGCCTTCTGCAGGAACCCAAGTGGCCACACTGGCTGGCCTTCAACTCCTGGCAGTAAAGATGTGATCCCTCTTCCAGTCCTTCCCCATCCTGGGCTGTGGCGCACGCCCAGGACACCACTCCTGTGCTGGCCCTCCCCTGACAGCCTATGATCTTTTCTCACTTTCTGAGAAGACTCGCCTGTGCCAGGTCAAGGGGAGTTCTCGGTGACTCCGTTCTGGGATGTCCCAGGATGTGGAGCTATGCAGACCATTACAGGAGGGTGGGGAGGGGACCTGTAGACTCTATGTATGTAATTACTGTTACTATAATGCTGTTATTATATTAAATGTACTTACTCACGCTTTGCCTCCGGGGAGCTAGAGCGGTCCTCTGGTGACTCACTTGAGCACTTCCCCTCAACCAACCATTACTAGAACACAGAAAGTAAAACCAAGCCCGGAAGGCACCTTTCGTCCCTTACTGCCGAAGGCTGATGTCCTGACCCTAGGAGAATGTGCCACCTCCACAGTGGCTCCCAGAAGCTCAATGCACTCTTTGAAGGTTCTCCTCCCACAGTGCAGCCACATGGTAAGGCTGAACTGGTCTAGACAAACTGCAACCAGCAGTCTAGCACTGCTCCAGAGGAGGTCCTCAGGCCACAGTGCGTGAGCACCCCCAGGCTACTGGTTAACTGCCCATTCTTATGCCAAGCCCAGAGCTGCCATTCTGATGCCTGGGGGTAAAGCCTTCATTATTTATCAAGCTTTTTAGGTGATAGCTAAGTGCCCAACCGGGTGACTGTTTGATGGACAGAAGGACACAAGGAAAAGCAGAGGACATAGGCAGACAGACACAGGGCCCTGTGCCTCAAGACACCTGTTTATTGGGGACACGACTCTGCAACAGGGATGACAGGAATCGTACCAAAAATAGCGACGTCTACAGAGCCCCTGGATGGGGCTAGAAGGGTACAGTGCCCCCCACCCCCACCCCTTGTACAAAAATAAACTCTCACGCCTATGGACCAGCAAAGACTGGCAGAGGGGGCTCCTCAACAGCGACCCAACCCTCTGCCAGCCCTGGGACCCCGTTCTTTGACCCTCACCTCTGCCACTTCTAAGGCACTGTGACTCCCCTGGGCTGGGTGGGTACCGCCCGCCCACCCTCCTACGCCCGCCGCCCCCACCACCACCCCCTCTGGTCCGCCTGGGGCT